TGGGTGGGTGGGTCGGTGGCAGCCTCCCTTGGGCGACCTGCGCCACACGAGACCCCGCTTCCCCTCTTTGGTTTTGCCCGCCAAGTTCCTATGGCAGCCGCATCCACTTAACCAGGTAACCAGGTTCTCCACAACAAACCGGCGCCGGGTGCGTGTTCCTGCGGCCAAGCGCGGCGCCTTCGCCCCGCCGCTTCACACGCGCGCACCCGAATCCTCGGACACGCATGAAGGACAGCAGCTACTGGCAAGCTGGGGGGTGGGTGGGGGTGGGGAGGGACTTGCTGACTAGACACGACTCGACACGGGGCTCCGACCTTTCCAGCGCCCTTGCGGGAGGTTTTGCGCCGGAGCACTTCCCATCAGAGGTGGAGGTGGCGAAAGGAAAGACCGAAAAGTTGCGAGGATAACGGAAGAGGTTGAGCCCCGCACTTTACTCCCTTCTGGATTCAGAACTTCTGGGGAGAGGGGGCGGGTTTGCTGGAGATTCGCTCGACTTTTTGTGTGGCCGAAAGGATGCCCCTTGTGTGCTCAGTGGAGGGAGGGAAGCTTCCCGCCTCAGAAACTCCCCGTTCTGTTTGAAGGGAGGAAGGTACGCGTCCGCCGCCCCCTCCAATACCCGCGCTTTTCCTGAGGGGAGAGTTCGAGGTCCGTGTAGATTCTCGGTGAGGCGAGGCGACTGAGGAGGAGGAGGAAGGGGGAGAAACGGTGCCAGCGGGAGTGCTCACTCACAAGAGGGGCCAGAGGCGGGAAACTGACGGTCAGCAAAGTCCGAACGAGGTTCTGCCCCTCAGAGCCACCCTGGCCAATAAGTCATCCGAGCATCCTGGAAAGCTTGTCGCAAGATATCCGTTGGTGGCTTTTCCCAGCCTTGGTCCAGAGGGGTTTTCGTGATGACCATCATCTTCAGGATGGCGAAATGCCGTTTCCCATCCTCGCCTAACTTTCCCTCTCTTTCTCAGCAAGGATTCTCATTTGCTGTAGAACGCTAAGAAGATATCTCAAATATTTACTATTTATTTATTATTTCAATTTGTATCGCATTCTTCTGTCGGAAGACACCAAAAAAAGCTGCACTGACAACCGTTACATGCATGACAAGACAACAATCAAATAATAAAGTATTTCACATAAGTGGTAAAAGTTATATTACGGAATAAGCTAAAGCCCACCAAACAATTACTATACAAGTGGTGGAATAGCAACTTAGTGATATCCACAGAGAGGCCAAAACAATTCTGCCTCTCCTGAGTCCCTGCAAGGAGATCATACTTCACAGGGGCTCAGGGAGACCCTAGGGAATAGCAAAAACAGTATTCTGACACCTTCAGGAGTAATCAGTTCCATGTAAACTTTTGTAGATTACTGTTCACTTCTCAAGCCCTTCAGGAAGTGGGTTGTAATCCACAGTTGATGGTGAAATAAATCTGTTAATATTCAGGGTGTCTTCACACTTTAGTTTGTTTTAATTTTTGTTATACCTGCTCAAACACACTTTTAAACAGACATGCATAAAGTCCATTTTAGCTTCTGTAGCCCTGCCTGAACCTCTAGAACAAGACTAATAAATAATTACTAGTCCCATTAAGTCCGATATGCTGTCAAGTAAAAGTGTAGGTCTGCAGCCTTAAAAGGATACTAGTTTACATACCATAGCTGTAACTGTTTCATATATTGAGACACAGTAGTTGTCTTTCTGAGGCAAGACCAATTTAAAGACATGGGGCAATTTTTTTATCCCAAAACTAGTTTGACCTGCTGAGGGCCTAAACTATATCAAGTTTAAGAGGCTTGGAGCATGCCAAAACTGGAAATCTATTGTGCATTTTTGTTCATTGTCCCAGGGTAGAAATAGCCTATCTCCATCCTGCACCTTGGCCTAAACTTAATTTCTCCCAAAGTGCTAGTTATTTAGAGAATTTGATTATCCCAAAATACAGGTGCATCTTCTCAAGAGCCCAATTTAACTGTCTCCAATCCTCAATTTTAGATAGGCGATATTCGATATTCTGGCGCCCCTTATGAAAAAAGATTGTGTCCTTGTAAGGATAGAGAAATTGAAACGTTGAAGCACGCCCTTTTTGAGTGTAATTTTTAGAGAAATTAGCCTATCAAATTCCTCAAGCCCATAATGAACGTCTTCCCAGACATTCCCAGAGTCCAGGTAGGACTCTGATTTGGCAAACAAAATATTTATTAAGCAACACAAACAAGATAGCCACCAAATCAGTGACCAAATTCCTTCTCTCTGCCCAAAGAATACGAAAGACAATCTTGACCTCTACCAAACCCCGTCATACCAATGTATGAGTAATTTATTTCATTATTTTATACTGTTTTAACTGTCTTGAAATGTGTTAATTGCTTCCATTTATTTTAAATACAGTGGTGCCTCAATTTACTAATTTAATCCATATTGGAACGGTGGCCGTAACTCAAAATTTTCATAAATCGAAGCAAAATTTCCCATAGGAATGCACTGAAAACTGATTAATCCATTTTGGCTGTTTTTGGTTCTTATGTTGAGGTGCCATTCGTACGTTGAATGGCACCGGTTAATCCGTCCTCTACCACTAGGGGGAGAATTTTTATTCTTTTAACCTAAAATGAACTTAGGTTTAAATAAGGGCAGGAAAGGAGGGAGGGAGGGAACACTTTTTAAACAGAACACCTTTAAAACCAAGCACGACTCGACACGGGGCTCCGACCTTTCCAGCGCCCTTGCGGGAGGTTTTGCGCCGGAGCACTTCCCATCAGAGGTGGAGGTGGCGAAAGGAAAGACCGAAAAGTTGCGAGGATAACGGAAGAGGTTGAGCCCCGCACTTTACTCCCTTCTGGATTCAGAACTTCTGGGGAGAGGGGGCGGGTTTGCTGGAGATTCGCTCGACTTTTTGTGTGGCCGAAAGGATGCCCCTTGTGTGCTCAGTGGAGGGAGGGAAGCTTCCCGCCTCAGAAACTCCCCGTTCTGTTTGAAGGGAGGAAGGTACGCGTCCGCCGCCCCCTCCAATACCCGCGCTTTTCCTGAGGGGAGAGTTCGAGGTCCGTGTAGATTCTCGGTGAGGCGAGGCGACTGAGGAGGAGGAGGAAGGGGGAGAAACGGTGCCAGCGGGAGTGCTCACTCACAAGAGGGGCCAGAGGCGGGAAACTGACGGTCAGCAAAGTCCGAACGAGGTTCTGCCCCTCAGAGCCACCCTGGCCAATAAGTCATCCGAGCATCCTGGAAAGCTTGTCGCAAGATATCCGTTGGTGGCTTTTCCCAGCCTTGGTCCAGAGGGGTTTTCGTGATGACCATCATCTTCAGGATGGCGAAATGCCGTTTCCCATCCTCGCCTAACTTTCCCTCTCTTTCTCAGCAAGGATTCTCATTTGCTGTAGAACGCTAAGAAGATATCTCAAATATTTACTATTTATTTATTATTTCAATTTGTATCGCATTCTTCTGTCGGAAGACACCAAAAAAGCTGCACTGACAACCGTTACATGCATGACAATAATAAATAATAAAGTATTTCACATAAGTGGTAAAAGTTATATTACGGAATAAGCTAAAGCCCACCAAACAATTACTATACAAGTGGTGGAATAGCAACTTAGTGATATCCACAGAGAGGCCAAAACAATTCTGCCTCTCCTGAGTCCCTGCAAGGAGATCATACTTCACAGGGGCTCAGGGAGACCCTAGGGAATAGCAAAAACAGTATTCTGACACCTTCAGGAGTAATCAGTTCCATGTAAACTTTTGTAGATTACTGTTCACTTCTCAAGCCCTTCAGGAAGTGGGTTGTAATCCACAGTTGATGGTGAAATAAATCTGTTAATATTCAGGGTGTCTTCACACTTTAGTTTGTTTTAATTTTTGTTATACCTGCTCAAACACACTTTTAAACAGACATGCATAAAGTCCATTTTAGCTTCTGTAGCCCTGCCTGAACCTCTAGAACAAGACTAATAAATAATTACTAGTCCCATTAAGTCCGATATGCTGTCAAGTAAAAGTGTAGGTCTGCAGCCTTAAAAGGATACTGGTTTACATACCATAGCTGTAACTGTTTCATATATTGAGACACAGTAGTTGTCTTTCTGAGGCAAGACCAATTTAAAGACATGGGGCAATTTTTTTATCCCAAAACTAGTTTGACCTGCTGAGGGCCTAAACTATATCAAGTTTAAGAGGCTTGGAGCATGCCAAAACTGGAAATCTATTGTGCATTTTTGTTCATTGTCCCAGGGTAGAAATAGCCTATCTCCATCCTGCACCTTGGCCTAAACTTAATTTCTCCCAAAGTGCTAGTTATTTAGAGAATTTGATTATCCCAAAATACAGGTGCATCTTCTCAAGAGCCCAATTTAACTGTCTCCAATCCTCAATTTTAGATAGGCGATATTCGATATTCTGGCGCCCCTTATGAAAAAAGATTGTGTCCTTGTAAGGATAGAGAAATTGAAACGTTGAAGCACGCCCTTTTTGAGTGTAATTTTTAGAGAAATTAGCCTATCAAATTCCTCAAGCCCATAATGAATGTCTTCCCAGACATTCCCAGAGTCCAGGTAGGACTCTGATTTGGCATACAAAATATTTATTAAGCAACACAAACAAGATAGCCACCAAATCAGTGACCAAATTCCTTCTCTCTGCCCAAAGAATACGAAAGACAATCTTGACCTCTACCAAACCCCGTCATACCAATGTATGAGTAATTTATTTCATTATTTTATACTGTTTTAACTGTCTTGAAATGTGTTAATTGCTTCCATTTATTTTAAATACAGTGGTGCCTCAATTTACTAATATTAATCCATATTGGAACGGGGCCGTAACTCAAAATTTTCATAAATCGAAGCAAAATTTCCCATAGGAATGCACTGAAAACTGATTAATCCATTTTGGCTGTTTTTGGTTCTTATGTTGAGGTGCCAT